GAACTTACTTACAAAACAGAAACAGATTCACAGAAAACAAAATTATGGTTACTGGATGGAAAGAGGAGAGGTGGAGGGATAAATTAGGAGTTCAGGATTTGCAGATACTAACTACTGTATACAAAACAGATAAACAGCAAGGTCCCACTGTATAGCACAGGGAACTGTATTCAATACCATGTAATAGCCTATGATGAAAAAGAATATGAAAGTACAACTGAATCACTATACGATACACCACAAATTAACACAACATTGTAAACTGACTATACTTTAATTTAAAAAAAAGGAAAAAAGAAAACTAGAAAACATTTTTAAAAATACCTCAAAATAAATACCTAATAGAAAAGAGAGTAACGGGCAAAACTGAAGTCGCAAACTGTTAGAAATGAATAGATGATGTGTTTATAAGACTTCATGAAGTGTGCAAGCTTCCTAGGACGAACAGCAGTGAAAGAAATCACAAAGGATTAGATCAGTAGTTTAAAATACGTATAATAAATCATGTGTTTTTCAATAATACCAAATGATATTAAAAGACAAGTTAAAGTCTGAGAGAAGGAGAATTTGTAAGAAAATATAAAAGTGCAGTAACTTAATATATTAGAAAACTTAAAAACAGTAAAAAAAAGGGAAAAATAAAAATAAAGGGCTAAATACCACTGGATAAAAACTTTTAAAAAAGCTCAAGTTCCGTAAATATAATCAATGAAAACCAAAATAAAGGAAGAATTCGATGCTATTTTTATAGGCTTCATTTTTTAGAGCAGTTTTAGGTTTAGAAAAATTGAGCAGAAAGTAGAGTCCCCATTTATTTCCCCTCTCCCTGCTGGCCCCCAGTTTTGCTTTTTAACATTTTGCTATGCTGTGATACACTTCTTATAATTAATGAACCATTATTGATATTAACTAAAGTGCATAGTTTACGTTAGAGTTAACTCTGGGTGTTGTACTGTTTGAATTTTGCCAGATGCATAATATCACTTATGCACCATTGCAGTATCATACAGACTGCTCTGAAAATCCCGTGCTCCACCTGTTCATCTCTCCCCTCTCCGACTACTCATCCTTCTACTGTCTCTATAGTTATGCCTTTTCTAGAATGTCATGTGGTTGGAATCTTGTAACATCTTAAGACTGACTTCTTTGGCTTAGCAATATGCATTTTTAAGTTTCCTCCATGTCCTTTCATGGCTTAAAAGCTCATTTTGCATTACTGCTCACTCAGGAGATTAAGAAATTACAAGTGATTTTTGTTCAGTGGAATGCAAGTTGTTCCTGTTCAGCTGAAACAACTACCCCAGAGTTTATGGCTCACTGCCCTCTAGGGACATCTAGTCGAAAAGATAAGCCCAAAGGCTATAGTTTTATTTTTCTCTATTTTTGCATCCAACTTGGAAAACTAATTCCATCATTCCTTTCCTGACTGGAAATCCCTGTTCCTCAAATTTCTGCAAACAAGCTTTACTCTCCTGGCTCCCTCATTAATAAACAAGTCTCCAACATAATGCTCACTACATATTTGTAAGACAGTCACATTTTTATCTATTGGAAAACAATGCTCTGACATTAGATACTCAGTGTCTTATAATTCTAGGAACATTCTATGCAATTTCATAGCTTTGGATCTTTGCACTTACCAGCCCCTCTTATTGGGAGTCCTCGCTCACCTGGGCAAGTTCTACCCCACCTTACATAATCTGTTCTGAAATCTTCCTTGGCATCCCCAGGCAGTGATGAGCATGGTTCTCCTCTGTGCCTTATAGAAACTGGACTGAACCCCAATGCATACATGTATTCATTTCTGGTTTTTGCATCCTCCCAGGAGAGCAATACGTTATAGTTACCTCTTTCTGTGCAGTACCTACCTATGTGTTAGGCACAGGGGAGAGGCTCTGTAGATGGAGAAATGTCCCCTTGAAGAAAAAAATGGGGAGGGGGGAATATTCAGGTGGGTCCTATGAGGGGATGGCCCAGAACCGAGGGGCAGCACCTAGACCTAGAGGGAAGAGAACGCAGGGTGTAGCAGGGCTTGGAGAGCCCTGCCAAGAGCCAGGGCCTTGTGCTTGATTTTGGTGGGCTTTTCTTTCCCCTGCATCCCTGCCTATGTGCCGGAAAGCATGCAAGGAAAAGCTTTGGCTCCTTCTTACCTCTTCGTCACTGCAGTTTCTGAGCATGCAAGGGTATCACAATGGACTTTCTGAAGATCTGGGCTATATTCTCTCTGCTTCCCCCAGTGGAGGACAAATAAGGACTGAGGGGCAGAGACCAAGAGCTAAGCCCGGGACTCAGGGCCAGACTGATACCTGGTGGCACTAGGGCATTTCCTCCCGACCTGGGACAGGTGAACCAGAGGGAAAGAGTGCAATTGGATTATTGGGAGCTGAACCCCCCTGCATCTCACTAAATAAGCTGCTGCTCTGTGTGTTTCTGGAGAGCTCCCCCCTCCAGGGTCAGGGGAGTGATCTGCTCTGTCTGTCTGTCCACTGGGAGCAGAGTTGGAGCCACATGTAGGATCTGTCCTCCCCCCCCCCCGCCATGTTCTCCACCCCCACCCCACAGCCCTCACTGGGCCCTT